TTCAGTGCTTCGTCTACACCATGGTCTCTTGAATAGTTCAGATTATGTTTTGTACCCATGACAGCCACTGGGCTCATCTTAGCAATGGTGCTTGCCATGTTTAGTGCTGCGGATACCAGGCTCTCTCTGTCAGGGTAGATATGGCTGTATGGAAATAAATATTGATTGAAATAAAACATGAAAAGCAAGTTGAATGAATGGTAAAGGAATGAAAGAACGTGTGAAAGAATGGATGAGAGAATGAGATGAGAAGTTAATTCTGGAAGATGATATCTGGAAAGCATCAGTGTCAACTATAGTTTTCAGCCACAGACAGGTGCTTTCTGATACAAAAATGTTAGAAGATAGAAAGTGCAAGAGAAGCAGGCTTATGAACACAAGGGGGTACTAGCAAGCATTTCTCTTATTTCTCAAGTGCACTCTATCTTCAACATGTTTACATCAGAGGACAGATGCACAATTTTCAGTTTAATATTTAATAATTTATCACGCAGGTGAACAGCAAGCAATGCCTCTGTACTCTGGTATATACATGATTATTAGCCAATTAGAGCACAGTTTATATCTAAAAAACTTTATTATAATTAACAAGTACCTCACAAGTCCAGCATCTTTAGCTTCATGAGCCAGGAATCGTCTTGCTGTATAACAGAGTTCCCTGACAAGGCTGAAATAAAAGGTTTTCATCRAGAGAATATATAATACAGCATATARTACATTAAAATTAAGGACCTTTCATTCCCTATAATCTTTGGTAATCTTTGAAGAGTTCCAACATCTGCTGCCAAACCAAGTTCTACTTCCTGGAAAAAATAAAATGTTAAGAAAGAAAGATTGAAAATGGGAAGAAAAAAGAGAGAAATGGAAGAGAAAGAAGTAGTGTTCAATGATGGGAGATATGAATGGAAAAAGAAAAAAGAATAGATGAAAAGAGAAGGAAAAGAATTGCAGAAGRGAATAATTAAAGTAGAGATAAGATGAATCATTTACAAGAGACGAGTGAGGAAAAAACAGATATCAGAGAAAATTAAAGAATTAAAGGAACAAAAAAATAATCAACCAACCTTAACTTGGAACCACGCATCTGCTGAGCAAAGTCTAATATCACAAGCACATATCATATCCACCCCACCTCCCACACAAGCAGAATGGATGGCTGCAATCACAGGTTTGGAACATTTATCAATAACAGTGAATGACTCCTGATACTGGAGTACAACATCACGCAATTTGGCTGCTTTTCTTGAGATGTCTTGATCACCTCCAGTAGATTGCATCAAAACACCAGCCATTTCCATCAAATCCAACCCTGTTGAAAAGCACAAGCTCTATAATTACTGGGGCATAAGATTGCTAAATGCGCTGGGCATAAGTCATGCTTGGGAAATGAGGGTAACAATTATTCAGAGAAGAGAAATTGGCGTTGGGGTTCTTTTTTCTGATCTTTCCAACTCCCCTTGTCTTCTCCATATAGCCTACCCTTTTGTCGGGCTTCCTGTCCCAGACTAAGAGACTAAGCTCATGCTTGGGAAATGAGAAGAACAATTATTCAGAGAAGAGAAATTGGGGTTGGGTTTCTTTTATCTGATCTTTCCGACTCCCCTTGTCTTCTCCATATATCCTACCATTTTGTTGGGCTTCCAGTCCCAGACTAAGAGACTAAGCTCTCCCTAGAAGTTCTTATTTTTACCTGCAGTAAATATCTTGCCAGCACCAGTAAGAACTACTGCTCTACAATCAGCATCACTAGAAATTTTACTGAAGCATTCCCTCATTTCTCTACAATGAAGAATAACTCCCAACAATTAAAATTATTGCTACTTAAGAAAGGACTGTTGATAGACTTGACTTGGTGAAGCTCACAACCTATGAGGATGGTTTATTGTTCATTATTGAACATTTTTGTAAGTTAATGAAGTGTGAGAATAAAGTTTGTTGTTGCTTATTGTTTGTGTTAACTTACATTGCTCATAATAATAATAATAATGATGATGATGATGATGATGATGATGATGATGATGATGATGATGATGATGTGGTATTTATATAGCGCATATGACGCATCTCATCACTCAAACTTACCTCCAAAATACTTGGTTCATGGCGTTACGTTTTTCTGGTCTATTGAGCTCAACTTGAAATACATTCTGGGAAGGTTGTGAGACTGCCAATGTTTCAAACTTGTAGGCATCTGAATTGAACATCCTTGCTTTCTTGAAAAGTGGAATTGCAGAAAATGACAGTTTCCTTGCTGAAGAAAGCAAACAAAGAGAAAGAACAAGTATAAAAAAGRAATAATGAGCTTGATAAACTTGGAAATATTTCGTTGAATACGCCATTTTGTAGCTCTAGATCTTGTTTTAGACAAATAGGATTAAAATCAATAGATTTTAACAATTACCTTTATTATAGGRTCTCAAGGAAGCTAAGACCCTTATCATGCCTGTGCTTTACTAAAATCAGAWGATAATTTAGAAAAAAAGATGTATTTTAAACAAATACGCCTTCACCGCCTGTGCGCCGCCATGTTGACAATTTCTTCGGCCTCATTCCACCTCCTACCTCGCAACACAGCCAACCCAAAAGCAAAATAAAGCAAAGGCAAAGAGGAACAAAAAAGAGCGAAAAAAATCTAAGAAACAAAATAAGAGATAGAGAGATAATAGAGGGTTAGATGAAAGAGAACCTGCTAACACAAAGTGTAGATAACCGGGCTTCCTTTGTCGTCATAGGTTGCATTGCGTGACACAAATATTTGTCACTCAACAGGATCGCTTCGACAACCATCAGTAATGGAAGAAGATAGACCAGTTAAACGTATTCTAGCTTTTGGAGATAGTCTAACTGAAGGACACACGTTCACCTTGACGCACATCGACCCTCGCTATAACCATCCTTACACGATAAAATTACATGAACTTCTGAAAGACAATTTCAAGACACTCGACTTCAAGATCGACAATGCAGGCATATATGGCCAGCTTGCACAAAAAGAAATGACTGCTAGGCTTCCAAAAGTCCTGAAAGAAAAAGGACCSTACGATTTGGTCATAATTCTTGGAGGTACAAATGATTTAGGCGAGATGTTTACACTTGGAGAGGAAAARCTTGTCTTTGAAGCAGTCCAAGAACTCCACTTGACCGCACTTGCAAGTGGCGCAAGAACTATTTTAATAACGATACCCGAGAGTGATTATATCTACGAAAACATGGGGAAAGACGGCACTTCGTATKTCAAGGAGCAAGGCGAACAAGGGAGATGTTTAATCAATGAAATGCTGAGAGAATTTGATGGGAGGACTCCAGGGGTGGTGTTGTGTGACCTTGACAAAGAGCATCCCCACACCACCCTTAGTCAGGAAGATAAAGTCAAATATTGGGATGATGGATTGCATTATACACCAGCAGGCTATGATAAAATGGCTGAGATTATTTTTGAAAAAATTAAACATCTGCAATGGTTCTGATTTTTGCTCCCACATGATTTCTAGTCGGCTGGGTTGCTGAGGGTATATCATGAATAATTAATTCTGATGCATTTGTATAACAGAGCCCTACTTATTTKTAATGTAATAAATTTAATAATGTAATAATAATAATAATTACAATAATAAAATATAATATACAACCCCTTGAGATATTTTTGGTTCCCTCTCTTTTGCAGAGCAATTTTTGTAACATGGATTTTTTTTAACACATTGGATCAATATAGCCTCTTGGACATATTTTGTATAAACCTCTTGCATCTACTGGTAATGCAGTTTCATCTGGAGGACAAAACAATGGATTTTATTTAACAGKASAGTGTTTTTGAGGAGTCTTTGGTTTTGATCACCACATGAAGCTGYTATAACATCACACAAGAGGTTGATAACATAARGATTTTTATAGAATATGGATCAATATATCTGCCAAACATTGCACAGCAATACACTGGAACTGCTACTAAAAAGGCTAGGATCAATATGGAGCAATATTAGAATTTAATTTTTGTACTTTGCCCCCTTTATATACTTAGTAAAGT